TTTTTTTTTTTTTTTTTAAATTTTGGTTTCCAGGCTTGAATTGATGGCTTGCAACGTGATATACAGGGTTTGGATTTGGGAGCTGCAGGCTTCCATTTTTCTGGCGATTAGACGTGACCGTTGGGGGTCTTTGAGGTTCAGTTTTTCTGGGTTGCAGTAAAGGTTTGAGGGAAGGGGTTCCAGCTTGTCCAGTCTTAGTGCCTAGAGGTCAAGAACTTCATGGTCCCCTTTCCCGGAGCCCTCAAGATACTGAGAGCAAGACATTTGGCTGTAATACGGATGCGGGAAGGTAAATAGTGTTTACTACGCCGTCTACACACTATCATGACCCTATTGCTTCAGAGTCCGTATGCACACAGACAAACCAACACATGTATGTACGCACCCACATATATACATATATAGGTGTACACATATACGTGAATAATCTGTTTTACACGCCGCATGAGGACTGCCTCTCATCAAGCTCACCTGGACCCAGCCACCACTGAACCATTGAGAGATTTCTGCGAATCGAAGCCTACACAGTCTTAAGAGGGAGCCTTCAAACCGCTGAGCATGCTCTCAAATCCTGGGAGCCTCAAGCTGATTAAGCAACACTTGGTAAGCCCAAGCGCCAGAAGTACCACATAACCGTTGCAGGGTCGCCAATCCAGGGGCTGCAAATTCCAAGCCCTTGACTCAATCCCCAGCTCGGTGTACCTCTTTAGATGGAGGTTCTCTCATTGCCGTGATTGAGGTACATACAGCCAGCCTGGCAAGGGCAAAGGCAAAGGCGAGATGGCCCAACCCCAAAAGTGTGTAGGCCTTACAACAGTGATTCAGGATTCGGGCTTACGGTGTAGGGTTTAGGGCTTCAGGTTCAGGGTTGAGGGATTGGGGTTTAAATGCTTTGGTGTTGAAGGGCTCAGTGTCTAGGGCCCTGAATAATGTTTTTGCCGTAGTTGTTCACATGTATTGAAGAATGCATAGGACATCCTGGGTCAGTAAGCCTCCTAAAGGTGTCCTCTTGATTCAAGTTATTCAGGGAAAATCGGGCGAAGGCTTATTGAAGGGATACTAACGGGTAGTATACCTTGGGTGGTACTAGGGGAACTCGTGATGACCCCAGGCCACGTGTTGGAGCCCTTGTGGAGTTGACACCTTCAACCTCTAAAGCTCTGCCTCTGGCAGCGCAGAGCAGCCGCCATGTTTTCTTCTCGTTCAGCTCTTGTTCGCTGCCTCGGTTTCCAAAGAGGGAATCCTTCAATACCTGGCTTCATAGGCATGAGGAAGTACTTCGTTCATCCTGACACCCTCACACTCGTAGATTTAAATCATTGCCTGGGCTGTGAACTCCACGTTCCAGTCAGAAGATGCAGCAGTCTTTTCATGGAAGCCATCTGGCAGAACCTTGCAGTTTAGCGACACCCATGCAGGTCCGTGCAGAGTGTAGAGTGCTGAACACAAGTTGTTGTAGGCTCAGAATAGGCAGGATCAATGCATGCTGCTGATTCAAAACGTTTCATTATGTTTCCTCGCCGCTCACCTTTTGAGGCTACATCCGCCTATGCAGGGATCCAGATGCAGGAATATCGTCTCCCTACCCAAAATCCTCCAAAACCTGTAAGGACCCCGAGTATTTTCTCCAAACTCCACCTGCAGCTTCAGGTCAGCCCGTTAGTTCATCATCCATAATGCACCCAATTCTCCACGAAGCCCCAGGCCTTGAGATAATATGGTTTTACTCTTCACGTAGTGATCATGATGCAGGAAAGGCTGTTTGCTTCATGGCTGTTGACATTGTTGGTGAAAATGACAAATGTCGTCATAAGGATCCTCGCTGTTGCCAATGTCGTAGTGATGGTCCCGCAGTTTGGTCACCTTTGGTGGATCTCTAGAATGACTGCCTTTGCTGCAAGGAGGAAGGCATGACACCGTAATGACTCCCAGTGTTGGGACCAATCAACACACTGATGCTTGTCCAGTCTTTATGCCAGTATAACGACAAGAGTCTCGGCACGCAGGAAAGCATTGCCTTCATGCTAGTCATAAGACGCCCAGCGACAATCGATGTTTTTCCCTCTGGGTTCAGTTCCGGGGGTGGTTTTATATGGTAATTTACAGGGTTTCATGTTTTTGAGTGTCGAAAAAATAATTATTGGGAGTAGTTTCTGCAAGGGACCCTGGAACTCCTAACCATGAGGTACAAACATCTTCAGAAATGAAGTGCGGTGCA